TGAAAACTTTATATCGACGTCAGAAACATGCTGTTAGACTTATCTACCATAAAGACAAATTTACACACACTGAACCCTTATTTAAAGAAATGAATGTGCTTAATATTTATCAAATTAATATTTACCAAAATATACTGTTTATGCTAAAATTTAAATTAGGTCAAGTACCAAACCATTTTTTAAATAACTTTTTTATAAATAACGTCAATAAATATAACACAAGGGAAAAAGGAAACTTTATTACACCTTTCAAAAAAACAAAACTTTCCCAGTTCTCAATTTCATATCGGGGTCCTTATTTATACAACAAACTAGTAACTAAAAATAAATCAATCTGCAATCTAGATTCAATTTGCAATCAAAATTTCTTGAAAAAAAAGTTAAAAAATCTGATACTGAATCTAAACAGATACTCAGAATTCTTTTAAGACCATAAATTAAAATACATATATATCAACTACAAAGTGAACTGACTCGTTTATGTGTATTATCTAAATGAATCTTTTTTTTTTTTCTTCTCAAATTTCTCAAACAATATATCAAAATGTGTTTATTACACACAAAAAAAACACTTGATTTTTTTTTATCAAGTTTAGTTATTATGCTGCTAGTTATGTCTAATATTTTATACTAAGCTTATTTTGAGTTTATTTTTTATTATGAGCTAAATTTAAAGAATATATAAACATAGTTGTACTTAATATATAATTATATTTATATATTTTATATATATTTAACATAATCATAATAATATATCAAACACATTGTAAGGGCTTCGTGATAAGATCATTACGATCTTCTTGAAGTCCGGCCTGTACTATTTAATTATAAATTTCACTATATATATTTTGACTCACGAGACTTGTAAATATTAATTTACGAAACTTGTAAATGTTATATGTACGGCAAATATATGAATAAAAAAAAAAAAAAAAAAAAAAAAAAATAAGTTTAATATGTTGGGGACCGGAAAAATGGAATATTGTAATCTAAACTAAAAAAAGCGGAGAACAAGCAGGACAAAAATATGACAACTTGTATTAGGTGCGTTGAGTAAGCATGATTCTTTTAAAGCAATTTGATAAAAATTAAAAAATTAAAAAAGCTTCTTTTAGACTAGAAAAGTTGTTTGTTAGACGAACATCTAAATAATGTTATCAAAATATTTACACATTTTTATTATAGATACTTTAAGACAGAATCTATAATCTTTTAAATAAAAAAAGAATAAACTATTTAATAAAATAATGCCAATAAAAATAAGATTATTTCAGCTCAATCCAAGTTAGTCCCAGCTGGGACCCAGTTGGAATGGTTATTTTGGGTAACTTAACAAAATTTAATTGTAATTTTAAAAGAAACAATTTTGAATGTACTTTTAATATTTCCTCAAAGTTTTTATTTCGTAAACTTTGATATGAGATTAAGAAATTAAAGATTAGGACGCTTAAATATACCCTAGATAGTTACCCTAATTTTATATGTATATACATATATACATCTATTTGTAGTAAAGTAAAAAAATGGGTTTCACTCTGAATAATTTTTAAATAGGTCACCCACAGCACGTTTTAAAAAAAAAAAAAAATAGTAGTATTTTCAGACAGTAGCATTATGACTTTATAAAGCCTAAAATTTTCTTGAACCTCACAGAACTTATTAAAATATTCTAGACTGTTCTGGATGGAAAACTTTCTTGAGGTTTAAAGCTTTTTTTGAAGTTTATAGAAATCATCAAAATTTAGACAAAATTTAGTTGCTTGATTGAGTAACTCCAAAAAGTACATATATATCTGTATTTGACAGTCAGATATTGATGAAGTTGGCATCAATATCTGACTGTCAAATACAGATTCAAATGAAGATGGCAGTCAGATATTGTAGAAGTTCAATAGCATTTTTTTTTATTATTGACTTTCAGAAATATGAAAAAATAAGGCCTTCAGTCATAATATCTTATAATAAAAGTCACTATAGAAAGAAACAAAACAATCTTTATGAAGAATCCCATACGATTTTAAAAGTCACAAATTGATGGTCGCTGTCTGTTCCATCAAAGGGAAACAAAAACACATGAGAAAGAAGTAACAAGTTTATGGTAAATGAAATTAAATTTTTCACATTTATCAATTCAGGTCGTACAAGAAAAGCTGGATTAAGTGCTGAAAACGTACAATAAATGTGTAGAACAAAAATAAATAAGGTTCTATTGAATGAAGTTTTTGACATTACAAAAAAAGATGGTGAATGGCTTTGTAGTGAGGACAAAAGGTTGTATCATCTTTAGATTATTGAGAAGGCTGAAAGTTCATAAGCTATCTATCCATCTAAATAAAAAAAATGTCTTTGAATCCTACTTTACCAAAATTAACGCAATAACGTCAAACTCCTTTCAGAAGACTCAGAAAAAACAGTTCACTAGTGCTGGCAAGAAATACAGCAAAAACAAAACTTCAACCAAATTAAGTTATTAACATTTGTCAACAGTTATTTCAAGACGGGATCAACATTCACACACCTTCACAGTCTGGTATACCAGACTGTGAAGGTGTCTTAAATCTTAATATATATATTAAGATTATTAAAGACGCTAAAAGCAACTATTAAAGAAGTTTAAACTTAAAGAAGAAATAAAGAAAAAAATTTACATGCTACATTAAATGAAGAAAAATATTACATTTAGAAAGCTGGTCACTTCACTTTGATTGTAAACGTATTAGTCACTAAGAATATTAAGTTTTAGGGTGAGTAATAAACAAGGAGAAGTTTATTAACAAGCACTTGATCTACCAGACTGTTGTTCCAGGTATAACAGCTATTCTAGATGAATAAAATTTATGGAAGAGTTTAAAGAGGACTGTAACGGATAGTGTGAATGTAAACACTGGAAAAAGAAAAGGGATTGTCAGTCAGTTTCAAAGATGTTTTATTGAAAAGAAACTGAAAGAATCAAAATTTATTGGTTTTCAATATTATGGTTTTGACAGAGTCTTTTGCGTAGTAATGGATGAAGAACTTATATTAAATATCAGTCTATACCGGAATTTGTAAAGACTTGTAAACTACAAATAGTTTAG